ATAATTAATTAACACACACACACACATATATATATATATATATATATTAGATCTCTTTCAACATGCTCAAGCAGCAGGCATATCCGTGATGAATGTTGCTACTGTATAGACAAAGGATTGATGATAAAGAGCTTTCCAAAAAGAGGAAATATGGGAGAAGAGAAGAGAGGAATAGATAGAAAAAACAGAGGAAGAGAGAAAAAAAATAAAAGATATGATAAACATAGGAAGAAAAATTGGATGGAAGTAAATGCAAGAGAGTGAATGGATGTTAAGTATTTTTCTAGACAAAGCAAGAGTATGTGTAAGGAAATTTCCAATCTAGAATTTGAACTTTCGTATATGCCAACAGAGCAATTTACTGAAGTTGTAAGAATGACTGTGTTCAACCCAAACATGGAATTAAAACGGCACATAGGAAGGGGAAGTGCATTTGGACATAATAACTTTTTCAAGTTAAGAAGTCTGTAGGTTCAACATCAACAATGAAGTTTTCGGCTCAGTTGGTGGGATTTTTTTATTCTATTCTAAGATATGTCTAGATACATCAATAGCAGACTACATGAAAGTTGAAACATGAAACAATGCATTGCATTTTTTTTCCCCTCTATGATATTGAAATTGAAATTTTGATCTTTATTTTGCAAAACATGCAATTTCAGTCCCTCATTAAATGTTTATTTTTGATTGTTTAAATTGTTAAGTTAGTTATAATTTATTATTAAATAGATGATATAATAATTAATATTTAATAATATTTGTATAAAAATTTAAAAATTTAATTTTTATTTTTTATTTTTATCTCATAAAATTTATAAAATAAAAATGAGATAAAATTAAAATTAAAAATGAAATTTAACTTAAATATTATTAAATATTAATTATTGTATTATCTATATAATATGAAGTCATAATGTACATTACAATTTTAAGGATTAATAGATGAAGATTTAAAAAGAAAATAAATTTTATAAAATTAAGGGATTAAAATTATAAATTTAAAAATAAAGAGTCAAATTTATGAATTTGATATTATAAAAGAAAAAAAAATATACATCGTAAACTTATTCTTGTTGAAGATATTTTATTGAAAAATAGAAAATCTAGAAAGTGAAAATAAAAGGAAATGAGTATAACATGGGCCTAACTTGATAGGAGCAAACATCAAATATGGGACCCGAAGTTAAGGCTCCAATTCCTATAGCTGGAGGAACAATTAGCACCTGACCACGAATTCCAATAAAGGGATCCTACCGGATATTGAGTCCATGTTCATATTAAATTGCCCATAAAATCTTAGACAAAACATACAAGTAAATAATGAATAAAAATGAGAATAAAATCAGCAAAATTCACTAATGACCGTCGCACAATGGATATTTGCTTTGCCTATATAGTCCTGCCAACTCGGGTTGATGGTGCTGTCAAAATGTCCCTAAGTTGTTTTTTATTTTCATTAAAAATATATTTTATAATAAGTTAAAGATTTTCTTAATATTATAAATACTTAAATTGTACACAAAATAAAAAAAAAGTTAACTTAAAATAAGATAAATATTATAAAAGTTTATATAAAGCGTAGATAAATATTAAAATCCCATCTTAAATATAATAATTTGTAATTTTAGATCAAAACTAACTACAATACAACACTTTGAGAGATAACAATTGGGAAGAAAATATTTTATAATATTTTATTTGAATAAGATGTTTCAACAAGTCCGGTCACATATTATTATCATCAAGATTATTTCAAACACTGTCCTTGTGTGAAATCTATGATAAATTACTTAACAATTGTTTTTAGGTCCCGTGTCTTCTTTTGTTGTGGTTGTAAAATAAGTATCATGTTTTTAGTTACTGTAAGTATTTTTTAGCCTATTGTATCTGTATATAGGTTAGAGTACCCCTTGTACTCATTTTTAATAAATCTCTTTTGTTTAGAGGAACAAAAAAACAAAAACAAGTCCACTCACATCGTTAACATAAGTACTTTCTATTTTAATTAATTTTATCTTAAAATAAGTGATATGAGATTTTGTGATATACAAAAATATAAGACTAAACTAATTAATAAACAATACGTTATTACTTTAAACAAAAAAATATTAAATATTTAATTTATATAATTATTTAATTCAAATTAATAACTTTCATTTAAATTATTTAAATGTACACATCTTTTTGAATATTCATAGAGAAAATATTTCTAACAGTTATTTGTTGAATTGTACTATGAATATTATATCATGTTGGCAATACATTTTTAATTTGTTGGAAATCACGATATATAGCACAATATATAACATACCCTTTATCTCTCTTAAAGTGGTCTTCCCCATTAATTGCCTTGAATGCATGATCTTCATAAATTGTACGAGCCTCCTCATTGGAACAAGGGCTTGTATTTCTTCTGGGCACAGACCAACCTCGTGGAATACGCATTGAGGAAGAAGGAATACATGCAAAAATTGCTCCATTGAACAAAGTAACTGACTCAAAAGCCGAAAGTTAAAGTTTGCACAAGCTTTTGTACGCCTTCAATTACGCTCTCACTTTATTTCACTGCAATATATACACTTCAAATTTGTCTGAAAACTTTTTTCTCATTGAACCTGCACAACCACACACACAATTCCCTAGAATAAATATGCACTCACTTCACAAAACCATCACAAACTTAATAAACTTGCTTTTATTCTCCTCTTCATTTTGTGCCATCTATATCCTTATACTATTAGGAACATCATTAAACCAACAAAACGTGCATTCTTCATTAAAAAATGTCCAAAATGTGTACGAATCTTCCACCACCACCACAACAACAACAACCCTTGATCATGTTGTGTTTGGAATTGCTTCAAGTGGGTCTTCATGGCCCAAGAGGAAGGACTACGTTAAGCTATGGTGGAACCGCGAACACAACACAACAATGAGGGGTTGTGTATTCGTTGAAACGCTTCCACTCTCAGTTGTTGAAGAGAAAGACAATGGTACTTCTCTTCCTCCTCTTTGTGTCTCCGAAGACACTTCTCGGTTTGGCTACACGTACCGGGGTGGCATGCGATCTGCGATTCGTGTGGCACGTGTGGTGAAGGAGACAGTGGCACTGAACTATTCTCATGTTAAGTGGTACGTGTTTGGGGACGATGACACGCTTTTCTTCCCTCGGAATTTGGTCAAAACTCTTTCCAAATATGATCACGGGCTTTGGTACTACGTTGGTGCCAACTCAGAGAGTTATAAGCAGAACTGGTTTTTTGGGTTTGGAATGGGATTTGGTGGGGCTGGTTTTGCCATCAGTTCTTCTTTAGCAACGGTTTTGGCCAAGGTGTTTGATTCGTGTATAGAAAGGTATCCTCATGTGTATGGAAGTGATGCCAGGGTGTACTCTTGCATCACAGAACTAGGTGTAGGGTTAACACATGAACCAGGCTTTCACCAGGTAATTAACACTTTTCAAACTTTTTTGTCCTACTTAATAGTATAAAGGAAATAATCTTATACCATCCTCCTAATTGCTAAGGACTTTTATATTTTAGTAACCAAAATGAAATCCTAGTTCAAACTTGAGAGACCTATTTAAATCTTTAGGAGTTTAATAAGTGTATATTAGTATAAAAACTTTTAAACTATTAATTAATTAGAGTTTTAGAAATAATTTTTAATATGGCATTAAAATACTTATTATAAAATCAATTTTTATTTGCAGTAATTTGTGAGTGAATGACACTATGAATAATATATACATATATTAATTCCTAATATGGCTTTACATGGATTCAACAATTTTTTTCTCTCAAGCAAATAGTGTATATATTATTTAATGTTAATATTAATACTCTGTTTTGTGATTGTGAAATTGAATCAGGTAGATTTAAGAGGAAACGCCTTTGGCCTATTGGCAGCACATCCAGTTACACCCTTGTTGTCCCTTCATCACCCAGAGAAAATTGATCCAATTTTTCCAAACATGACAACCATAAAAGCTCTACAACATTTATTTGAAGCTGCTGATGTTGATTCCCATAGGCTTCTGCAACAAACAGTTTGCTATGAGAAACGGTTTTCATGGACAATCTCAGTGTCATGGGGTTATGCTGTTCAGGTGTTCCATAACCACATGTCTTTGCCGGATGTTCTTAAAGTTCAAAAAACATTCAAGAAGTGGACCGGAGGAACTGTTTTGGCAGACCTATTTTCTTTCAACACAAGAGAGTTTCACCCTGACACATGTAGAAGGCCCACCATTTTCTATCTTGAAAATTTGTTGCAAAGTAAAGATGGCACAATAATAAGCAGTTACCAGAAATCTATCCAAAATTGCTCATCCAACGTGGTACCAGAAGTTATCAGAGTGGCCACAAGTAAGCTAGTGCTTGATATCAAACAGGTAAATCTTGATTATGCAAGAAATTATTAGATGATACTGTTAGGTCCAGAGTAGGCTTAATAGTTACTCACAGCTAGCTCAATATTTTAAATGTAAATTAAATCATAACAACATAAAAGAAATATAAGTGATTTTTTTTATAAGCAAAAGAAATTTAAATTAAAGGGAGTGCAAGGGGTACTCCAACCCATTACAAGAGACATATAGACATAATTAGAATCAAAGCTGGAATAGAAACTATGAGAAATACAAAATACCCAATGCACCACACCTTGTAAATACTTTGGATTATATAGATTTTGAGTGAGCATTTTATGCCTCAACATCTCTTCCTTAGTCACTAGGTTAACTTCGGCTAACCTCCTTCATTCTCCACCCTTGGAGAGTGAAACCCTAGAGTGGCCTCCACCTACACTTGGAGTGAGCCAACCTTGAGCAACCATACACCTTTCACCATACACTTCCGCCATTCAACACTATCTCATGCCTAGCTTCCTTTTTCACCATAAACCTCCCTTTTGTCTAACCTTTGGTGAGCCTAGATCATGGGCAAGGTGTCTCCCTTCAACACACCATCATCAACCATGGAAGGAGAGACTCCATCACATCCATATGGAAACAAAAGGGTAAGCTAGAGTTCAATAAATAACCATACAAGCATAAGAATCAATATCCATGCTATCAATCATCAAATCACCAATCATGAAGTCAAGCACCAGAGACTTCATCATAAAAACAATCATGCAATTAATAAACACATGAAAAATACCAATGCATATCAATCATCTAGTGCATTGTCACGCATTCACCTAGGAGATCTCCCTATCAACAAAATAGTATAAGTAACATCTCATCCTACTGAAATCACTTGAACCGTTTTCATGTCCAATGTGCCTGCTTGGTGACAAAAAATTGGGTTATCAAATCCCCTGTCAGATTTACTCGAATCGTGTCACTTACAATAATGGATGTCCGATTCCATCATCATGTATAGCACAACTAGGTACAGGGTTACCACAATCTTAGCATGTATTACCAAGTCATTTGTGGAGTTCGCCCATCGACTATTCGCAAGGAACCATGAAACCTTCCTAGGTACTTGGTTAAGGGAAGAACCATTGACCTACTACCTCGCTCCAACACTAGCTAAGGACTTAGAAGAGACTCACCTTAGCCAAAACCCACTCCTAGAGACTTACCTCTCTAAGAAAGTTTTCAAATCAATGGCCTATCCAAGCACCACTCTTAAGAGACTTTATGAAAGCTCTTCAAGATTTAAAATATATGTTTTTCCTCTCCTCAAGTCCTAGGTTAGACACATGCCATAAGGCATCACATGGAACGATGCATCACATACATGGTCAATTCACCATCCTATTCATCATCATCCTCATATCAACATACATGCATACCAAATCATGTTAGAATATATGTTTAAACATTCATATATATCATTCCCAAGCATATATATGAATCAATCACCATTTCACATCATATAACAAGTATATGAACCAACTTTACAACATAGCATCATACAACTTTAAACAACTTTTTGATCCACATGATGATGGAACAAAATAGAAGACGTGGTAGATAACATCTCCTAGACTCCATCTTCAAGTCCTTCTTCTCTTGAGCTTGACTCTTTAATGGTGGAAGCACTTTGAGAACTCCAATGGTGGAAGATGCAACAAGGAGTGCTCGGTTACTTCTCAAAGAAGTAAGAAGAATAAGGGAACTGAGGCACAAAGGAGGAACTCCTTTGTGAAGGTCCTAGGGAGAAGAAGATTCTCCACAGATTCTAACGCTTTGGGAAGAGAGAATTTTGAGAGAAAATTATGATTTCATTTATCCAAAGTATGTACAAATGAGAGATTTAGAAATATATAAAAGTAGGTAACTTGTGGAGGAAGCTCAGCTTAACCATGGTTCAAGTGAACCATGGTAAACTTAGCTTGACCGTCCACCTTAGTTTAGGAGGCTTGTGGAGCAAGCTTCTATCTTAGCTTACTTGGGAAGCAAACTAAGTTAGAATCTTATAGCACAAGCTTCCCAAAGGCACCAAAGGTAGAAGCAAGTTCGGCTAAGGAAGTAGGCTAGGCGGCCTTGGGCTTGTTTGCTCACTTAGTCCGTTTCAAAAATTGTTTATTTGGTTTAGTTAGGTCCATCCAAAAATGGCGAGACCTAGCTAAATCAAATATTTCCAAAATACGGAGCAAAACAAGTCCAATATGTAAAATTTTGTCTAGGCCCAATTTTGTCTCAATTGCTAAACACACCCTCATGCCTTGCTATTTGCCACCCCACTTCTACTACTGAAAAATGTAAAAATGGTGACCTTTAATACAAGGTCAAATGGAGTAAAACTCTCCAAAGAACCTACTCTAAATTCATTATACAATGATTTATAAAAAGGAAACAAAGTGCCTCACAAATACAAAGGCAAAAAGTGACCTATACAAGGAAAACTATAAACAAGCTATAACCTGCAAAAGGAATAAGATCACTAACATTAAAGTGTTGCTTACTCCATAATCACTAGGGAGATCTAACTTGTAGGCATTATCATTGATCCTTTGTAGGACTTGAAAAGGACCATCTCCTCTTGGATTGAGTTTAGACTTCCTTTGAGAAGGAAATATTTCCTTTCTCAAATGATGCCAAACCCAATTTCCTTCCTCAAATATGAGATCTATTTTGCCCTTGCCTCTTTCTGAGGCATATATCTCATTTTGATATTGTATATGAGTTCTAACTTTTTTATGTAATTTCTTCAGAAAATCATCCTAGATAACCCTTCTTTATGAAAACAATGAGAAGAATCAGGCAAGGGTATTAGGTCCAAAGCAGTGAGAGGGTTAAAATCATAAAAAACCTCAAAAGGTGGGATTTTGGTAGTCTTATGGACTACCCTATTATAGGCAAATTCAATATGGGACAAGTACTCATCCCAAGATTTGTGGTTATCCTTAAGGACTGCCCTTAACATGGTAGATAGGGACCTATTAACTACTTCTATTTTCCCATCAGTTTAGGGATGACAAGTAGTTGAGAAACGTAGTTTAGTTCCTAGCCTACTCCAAATACTTTTCCAAAAGTGGCTAAGGAACTTGGTGTCCCTATCTGACACAATAGTCTTGGGTAGACCATGATGTCTAACCACTTCCCTAAAGAAGAGTCTTGCTATGTTGCTAGCATCATCTATCTTGTGACATGGAATAAAATGAGCCATTTTACTAAATCTGTCAACTATCACAAAGATAAAATCCATGCCTCTCTAGGTCCTGGGCAAGCCCAATATAAAATCCATACTAATATCAACCCATGGAGAGTTAGCAACAAGCAAGGGTGTGTAGGATCCATGAGGCATTACTTTAGACTTTGCTTGCAAGCAAGCTATACTTCTAGAGCAAAACCTCTCAACATCCCTTCTCATGTGGGGCCAAAAAAGTTTCTCTTTAAGAAAACTTAGAGTCTTATCAACTCCAGAGTGCCCCACGAGTCCACCCTCATGACTTTCTTTAACAAGGAGTTTTCTAATGGATCCTTGGGGTATACAAATTCGTCCTTCCTTGTGGTATATGATGGAACAAAATAGAAGAAGTGGTAGATAGCTTATTCTAGACTCCATCTTCAAGTCCTTCTTTGTACAAGTACCCCTCAGAAACATAGAAACCTCCTTGAGGCTTAACTAAACATTGGGTATATGATTCACTAAACTCAGAGTCATTGGAATACAACTCCTTAATGTGATCAAATCCCAAGATTTAAGATCCAAGGGAGACTAGCAAAGTATGTCTCCTTGAAAGGGCATCAGCCACAACATTATTTTTCCCTTTCTTGTATTTGATCACATATGGGAATTATTCCAAAAACTCTACCCATTTAGCATGCCTCTTATTAAGTTTAACTTGACCCCTCAAATATTTTAGTGACTCATGGTCACTATGAATGACAAACTCCTTGGGAATAAGGTAGTTTTCCTAAGTTTGAAGGGCCCTAACTAAAGCATAGAGCTTTTTGTCATAGGTAGGGTAGTTAAGGGAGGCACCTTTGAGTTTTTTACTAAAATAAGCAATTGGGTGCCCACCCTGTAACAAAACCGCTCCTATGCCAACCCTAGAGGCATCACATTCTAACTCAAAAGTTCTAAAAAAATCCGGTAGAGCTAGAAGTGGTGCATGGGTGAGCTTATCCTTTAAAGTTAGGAAGGCTCTCTCTTGTTTCTCTCCCCATTGAAACTCAACATTTTTCTTGACCAACTCATTTAATGGGGAGGGAAGTGTGGAGAAATTAGGAAAAAATATCCTATAGAAGCTAGCCAACACATGGAAGCTCCTAATATCTCCAACACTTTTAGGAGTGGGCCATTCTTGGATGGCCTTGATTTTCTCGGGGTCTACATGAACCCTTTTTTTTGCTAATAATAAAACATAGAAACACAAAACTATCTACAAAAAAGGTACTTTTTTCTAAATTTCCAAAAAGTTGGTTTTTCCTAAGAATACTAAAAACATGCCTTAAGTGTCCTATGTGATCACTTAGGCACCTACTATATATAAGAATGTCATCAAAATAAACTACAACAAATTTTCCTATGCAATCCCTTAAAACATGATTCATGAGACACATGAAAGTACTAGGAGCATTGGTGAGCCCAAAAGGCATCACTGACCATTCATATAATCCAAACTTGGTCTTGAAAGCAGTTTTCCATTCATCACCTTTTTTAATTCTAATTTGATTATAACCACTTTTAAGATCAACTTTAGAAAATATGATGGCTCCATGAAGCTCATCTAGCATGTCATCAAGCCTAGGGATAGGATGTCTATATTTTACAGTGATGTTGTTGATGGCCCTACTATCACAGCACATTCTCCATTTGCCATCCTTTTTAGGGACTAACAACACTGGTACATCACAAGGACTTAAGCTCTTTCGAACCTAGCCCTTCTCCAACAACTCATGGACTTGAGACTCTATTTCTTTAGTCTCCTGGGATACTAAATTACAAGATCTCTAATTAATCATCTTAATCTTTACATAAAATGTAATCAACTGATATTAATTTTTTCTTATAATACATGTTATGTAATGAGTGATTGAGACTAAAAATAATAATTTCTCTAATTAGATACTAGTATTTCTTTAGGGCTATTAGGAGATGAATTTGCATTGGTAACACTACTTATAAACTATTTTTTAATTTGTATTCAGTTGCTGACTCAAAGAAGGCACTGCTGTGATGTGTTGCCCTCTAATGTTTCTCACTTAATGGAGATTGCAATAAGGGAATGCGCAGAGGATGAATTGATTCACATGCAATGATATATAGATGATCAGAACTCGGAAGTTCATGTTTAATCTCTCTTTTATACGCCCAAGCAAAATGCATCATATAAAAAAAAGTTACTAGAGCATGTCATTAGATGGTTGTAAGTAGAGAATTAATTCCATTTTTCATGGATATGCTTGTAGAGCTACTTATTAGTATGATAAAATGATTCCGCGACGTAATAAGAATTGAGAAATAAAATGATTCGCCTTATCTAAAGGTTCAGCAATGCAGCTGTGAGCTATTTTAGAACAATAAGAATTGAGAAATAAAGGTGGAAATTAAATTTGTCCGTGCTTCTGCAAGAGATATATTGGTATTCTACTTCAACGTGATACCTTCATAGTATTTTGATACATCTCTGCATGTGAGGACCGAGGATACATTATCAATGTCAAGGGAGGAGACATATTGAAATTTAATTTTTACTTTGGATAAAGACGAGAGATACTTTATCTTTATAGGAATCCATCTGATAAAAAAATTCATGTTTGTGAAACCATTGTCTTTTCTTTTTCTCGAGATATTGAAATCTTCAACATATATGCGAAAACGAGTTGAAATGGCTCATCATGTTCAGATGCGGCGAGAATATATATTAATTTAGTTATATCCAAGAAAACAAGAAACCTTAGACAGACCATGTCTGATATTGTCTCGTCAAATAGTGTAGTTGGCATGATTACGTAGCTCCAAAAATCAAAAGAAAATGCGAAACTTTTGACCATTTCTCTCACACAAAACTAGAGACCTTCACTATAAATTGATCGAAGCCAATTAACCTCTACGTACCAAACCAAAACCATCAAATAAAACTAGAGACCTTTCTAGTGGTGGTTGCAAGAAGTGTCTTGATGATGCAATTAGTGAATTCCCAAATTGTTGTGATGGTAAAGCGGGAGGCAGAGTTGTCGGTGGAAGTTGCAACATCATATATGAGATTTACCTATTTGTTAAGGGTTAGACTTAGAACATACTAGGTGAAGGAAAACATATGAAACCTGCACATTGGATAGAAGAGTGATACATAGCTTTGAAGTCCATGAGCACACTTGTTATATGAGAAAGTAAATTAAAAAAATAAAAAGATGTTATTATATTACGAAAGTCATTAGCTATTTTAGGAGCTTCCAAATTTTTTTTTTATCCCATAAGATATGTCTATAATGATTTTATGTAATACATTTATGATTTTATGGTGTATTTGGACAAAAAAATTTAGAAATTCAAAGAATTTAAAATTTTTAGAATTTCAATTACTTTGATTTCAATTTTTATTATCCTTTAAATGTTTTATTTGAATAAATCAATTTAAATTTATCAAGTTTTAAATTTTAGTTTGAATATGATAATTTAATTTTCACCATAGTAAAATTGATCATATATATACGTTGAGATTTTAAAATTAAATTTTATAATAATAAATATTAGTCAATTTTAAATATTTTAAGAAATTTTACAAATGTTTAAATTTAAAATTCTATATAAATTTTTCATTCAAATAAAGTATTTCACTCCAAGACATTTGTCATTCTTAAAAAAAATGAATTATTCCACTTAAATTCTCCATCCAAATACATCATAAGGCTTTAGAAAGAGGAATTGAAGAAGAAAATGAATCAAATATACACCCTTAAGAAACATGGACACAATTATCTAAATTGTGATCATTGAACAAAGACGCTTGAACCATGGTATATGTCATAGGTAGTAAGTAGTATGTCACATACAGTAGGTGACAAATAACAAGTAGCATGTACTAGGCACACTACTAGAATTTTTCTTATTACATGTGACTTTTCTTGCGAATTTTTATGAAAAATTTGCAGGAAATGTTGTTCTTACAAATTTTTTTGCCAAAATTTTATCTGCAAGTAATACCTTCGTGGATAATATATTTTTGCGAATTTTAAAATTTGAAAGAAATTCTCCTGCTAAATTTTTTGCAGAAAAAATTCGCACGAAAGTTTCCTGCAAAAAAAAATTCGTAAGAAAGTTTCTTGCAAATTTTTTTAGAATAAATTCTACATGAATATTTTTTACGAAAAAAATTAAAGAAATTACTATAAATTCTATCAACAATTCTTCAACTTTCAAATGCTCACAATGAATTCATCCGAAGCATTTGTTTCCATGCCTCCAACATGTGATACATAATCTTTTAAATTCTAAGATTATAGATTATAAGCCTAACACTCAATCATACAAATCAACTTGTAAGGTAACTTATATACTCTTTAATTATTTTATTTTCAATCGATGTGGGACTTGAAGTTTTTTTTTAAATATTAAACTTATAAATTTAAATATTTTTTTTTATTTTTCCTGCGGATTAAAATTGGCAAGAAAATCTGCAGGAAAAGTTTCCTGCAAAATTTTTCTACCATTTAGTAAACATTAGTTGCGAATTTATTTTTGTAAGAAAATTTAATTCTTATAATATTTTCTACAAATTTTTACCATGAAATTTTTTTTATGATCATTAAAATTGTAGTAAAATTTTCAAAATTTTCTTATAAATTATTTTTCATAAAATAATTTGTAAAGAATATCTGTAAATTATTTTTCTTAAATAAATTTATAAAAAAAATTTTATAAAATTATTATTGCGAGAAAATTCATAAAAAATTTATGTGAATATTTTTTATAAAAAATTCGTAGAAAAATAACATATTTTTCTAGTAGTGGTAACAAGTGACGAGTAATAGATAAGAGGTAACAAGTAGCTAATAAGTGACAGGTAATACATAACAAGTAGTAGATAATAAGTAGCGCGTAGCAAGTCACAAGTAGCATGAAACATGTAGCAAGTAACAGGTAATAACTAATAAGTAAGAGATAACAAGTAATGAATAGCAGGTTGCAAGTAGCTGATAAAGGTGGCAAGTAATAGGACATGCACGGGTAGGCACAAACCCACAACTCGATCCAAAAGCCCATGAAAAATGAAAATAAATTTATTGTTTATGGGTAGTTTCAAGCGAGTTGTCGATTAATGTAAGTTGAAATTTTGGATAGTTATTCATATGCTATGAGGTTTATATGTATAAGAACAACAATAATGTAAATGACATAACATTCATTGTGGATATCTTTGAAGTCACAATGATAAATATTGCACATCGTGGACAAAAATTAAAAAACAATTACTATTAAAATTTATTTAAATTTAAAATTAATATCCAATTTAATAACTAAGTCAAAATTTTTCATTCTTGTCTCAGGTATAAAATTAATAAATACTTTTCTCATTTTCCCACATGTACTAGTTTTTAATTAAATACTTTCAACTTAGTTATGGGCATTTTTATGATTAGGAGTATTTTAATCTATTTTTTTTATAATATTTATTAGATGTTTTTAAATTTATCATTTTATATGTTATCTGAATTTTAAAACTTTAATACTTAATATATTTCTCTTAAATACTTTTCCTTTTCTTTCTGGAAGCTTGTTAAAAATTCTAAACTATAATTAATTGTCCAGCCTGGATCATCAAAGGTGCATGATTGACGAAAGAGATTAGTTTTCATTCATTCGATCTCTAATAAAGATGTCACCATTGATCTCTTAAGTCAACACCGCCGCAATCAATACTTATAAACCCAAAATGATCTTCTAGACAAACAACAATCAATACTTATAAACCCAAAATGATCTTCTAGACAAACATACATTTTCAACCGGGTGTAATGTAATGGTATTTGTTTGTTTCTCTTAACTATTTTTAAAAAAATATTTGTTTTTTATACTGAAGACAAATAAGTTGAGTTGACGCGTACATACATATATATAATTTGGAAAAATTACTCTTTTAATAATTTAATTTTACAAATGATTTTGTTAATTAATACGGGATCTAACTAAAATTATTTCAATGTGTGATCATTATTGGTAAATGTTTCCAAGGATAAAATTTATTTCAAGGATCATTATTGGTAATTTAATTTTGAAAGTAATTTTTCGCTAATCACAGTCATGGAGATCAAGCTATGATTTCTCTAGCGAACATGATGCTTTATCTATTTAACTTTGAACATTTGACCGAAGAATTTCGAGAAAATTTCAAATATTTCCTGGATAAGATTAAAACTTTATGGATTAGTTATGTGGGCACTGTACATAATGCTAATGTTTCTAGGAAAAGATCGATATGATAAAGAATAGATCCACTCGGTTACTTATTTCATGTACACTTTTTTTTTTAATAATTAAAAAGCATAAATCTCTTCATCACTCATTACATGAATAAAGTGATATCTATTTCACTCTGTACTCAAATCAAAGATTAAATCTGATCATTTATTAATATATATATATATATATATATATGAATATTTATGTAATAACTTCGATTAGTAAGTATACATATTTTTTATACATGGTAATGGTATAAATTTATAATAATTCAGGTACATATTTAAGTAACCGAGTTAAATATTCCTTAATTTATTGCACGGACGTCATATACACTAGCCTACCGTACATGTTTTTGATATATAAAGAGTAATTCATGTATATCAACATGTGAGACCTCAAATCGAGATTCATCTCAATTTATTTTGTTTGTCGATATACACACACTCTTCTAATACAAATAATATTGATACAATTTTGATTAATTATTATACTATATATATTAAATGTAAATTTTATTGATTCATTTGTTGAATTATAATTTTATATCATTTTATATGTTTCTATTTAATTTTATTAAAATCAAATAATAATTTTAAGATAATTAAAATATTTATATTTTAATATATTTTTGAAATAAATATATTATTTTAATTTTATTATATAAGAATGAAATATTAAATCATCTTGAACTAATATAAAATTTTGTATATATGATTTAGAAATAAATAACTTTCAATCTATTGATAAATTTTAAAAAATTTACATCTAATTAAAAATTATTGAGTGATATAATAGTTAATAAAAATTACACATATATCATTTGAAATACATACTTCAATTTAGAGTATTTGTGTAAAGATATTTAAGAGCTTATAACTTATTATCCTCGTAAGTTAATTGAAGTAACTTTAAAACTCTTAAAATTGACAATTGATTTTAAAAGTCAAACTAACAAAATAGATTATTTTAAAATTGGTTAAATAATAATTTTAAAGTAAAAATAATCGATTTAAAAAAAATCTCACCGGAATACCTTAGAAATTTAAAACAATAAATAGATAAATAATAATAATTCTCTTCTAAAATAACCGATGAAAAGACGAAAAAAAAAAATACTAAATGTCCTCCAAAATTTAGATAGAAGGAAGAGAGTTATGTAGAGAAATTAAATACAGAAAGATAGAGAGAAAAAATAGTTTTCAAACAAAGTGACGATAGGAAAAAAGTGAAAGAGAGAGAGAGTAAAAATGAGATGAAAAAAAAGTGCATGTACATAAAAATCCGAAAAAGAAACGAAGGGAGTGATAAAATAATAAAAATAAATAGATAAATTTTAAGTAGCATAAAAATTATATATTTTAGATTTTACAAGTTCAAAATTCAAAATAAATGTTAAATTATTTATCTACAAAATATTTTATAAATAAAAATTAACTTGTTAAAAGACCAGTTTTAAACTAATTTTCTCCTACAAATTTTTATCGTTTTCAACTGATGAAGTTAAACTGGTTTAGTTAATTCTGTATTCAACCAAGTGTTTGAATATTATCCGGATTGACAATGTTATCTGTTCAATGATATTAAAAGTAAACTAGTTGATCTAGTCGATTTTTTCATATATATATGTACATAGGTAGTTTTGTAGATTATTTCCGCAAACAATATTTACTATATAAATGTATAGTATAATTAACACGCTATACGTCTATGTCAAAATATTTAAACAAAATTTGACAAGATCATAACAAAGAAATTAAACCGTATATATTTTGAAGATTGAATAGGATGAAATTAATCAAGCTTGAATTTGTAAGATTTACAAACCATGCAAATTCAGACAAACGCGACATTAATTGTACTTTGTCCAAACTCCTAAATGTCAAAGACGCTGCCTAACTTTGACCTAGTGCAGTGCACCCCAATTTGAATGGTCAAAAGAAAATGTCAACTTTTTGGTATCAATCTCATGGTTCTCTCTATATAAACACTTTCATTCTCCACATTCCATTGTCAAAACAATCATACAAGAATATTTCCATAGCCACAACAATGTCTTCCTCAAAATTTATCACCACTTTTCTTTTCTCACTCACCATAACACTTCTTCTCCAAACATCTTTTGGAGCTGACCCTCTCTTCCATTTCTGTTCGAGTTCGGAAAACTTCACAGCCAACAGTCCCTATGAATCAAACCTCAAAACACTCACCAACTCACTCATCTACAAAACCCCTTCAACAGGTTTTGGTCTTGCCTCTGTTGGCCAATACCAAAAGGCATATGGACTTGCCCTTTGCCGTGGTGACGTGTCAGCCTCAGATTGCAAAACTTGTGTCTCCGAAGCACCCAAAGAAATTCTCAATCGTTGTCCTTACAACAAAGGTGCCATCATTTGGTACGATTATTGCATGTTCAAGTACTTGGACACAGATTTCTTTGGCAAAATTGACGACACAAACAAGTTCTACATGTGGAACTTGAAAAATGTTGATGACCCTTCAACGTTTAACTACAAGACTAAAGAGTTATTGAGCCAACTTGCCGAGGAAACTTATGGGAATAATAAATATTATGCGAGTGGAGAACTAAAGCTTGAGAAATCAGAGACACTTTATGGATTGACTCAGTGCACTAGAGACCTTTCTAGCAATGATTGTAAGAAGTGTCTTGATGATGCGATTAACGAACTTCCAAGTTGTTGTGATGGCAAAGAAGGAGGTAGAGTTGTGAGTGGGAGCTGCAACTTTAGATATGAGATATATCCCTTTGTCAACCAGTAAATTAACCATCAATATCTTATATGGATTAATTGAATCTCTTCAATTGATATCGTCAATAAAGATAAACATTATTATGCAATTTTAAATAGTGTATGAATAAATTAATGAATATATTGTATTTTTTATTTTATTTTTGAGAATCAAACTTATTTACAATATTCATATGCCCTTTTAAACTAACCGAATTAGATTCTATTGGTGAATTGTTGTATTTGTATGTACTATATATGTTTTATAACTCATTTGTATTCTTATCTTTTCTTTATAGCGTCTTTTATTTATTTTATACTTTTCACTTTTTTCTTTATCTTTATCTTCTTTTATTTCTCTACTAGTAATTATAAATATGTTTGCACAAAAATATGTAGGAATAAAATTTCTCTAATAATTAGGTTAGGAATAGAATAATTTGGATATGAGCCTTCTATAACATTAATATGCATCAACTAAACTTATATAAAATTAATTTGTCGACTACTCTTCATATATTGTGTATCTTTTTAGTAATTGGTTAAAGATTTTATCTCTCGACTTTATAATTGGTCACTTTTAAACCAGTATAACTCGATTTAACCTTCATATGGTATCAATAAAGGACTTAGAAAAGACTCGACATTTCATTTCAAGAGATAACTCAAAAAGAATTTTTAACAATTAAGCTCTTGGAACATTAAAATATCCATACAATGAGATATTTCAAAATCTTAAAATAACACATTCCTCTACTTCTAAGTTCAACATACAGTTTAATATCATGCATCATGCATCTTATCAACATAATTCAACGCTACAACATGCCTCATGTATATCATAACACAATACTACACAACTACGTACTTCTCATGCATTCATAACACAACACACAACAATATATTACTCATATACATTCATTATACTCATGCTCGACGTGACCAATTCATGCCCAACATTAAATTCTAGTATCACTCATCCTACACTCGATGTTAATGGGGTAGAGAGTCTCTAACTTACTAATGTCTGACGCCACTACTCTCATGTCCAATGTCAATGAGACAAAGATCCTCTAACTTACTCACTTTTGATGTCACTTATCCCACGCTCAACATAACCAAGTCAGAAAGCCCTAAAATCACTCATACCCAAAAACCATTCACCCCATGCCTGACATTAGTGGGGTGGAAAGCCTCTAACTTACTTACTCTCGATGTCACTCATCATGCGCCTGATGTTAGTGAGATAGAGAGCCTCTGAATCACTAATGCTTGATGCCATGAAGTTGGATCCAACGTAAAGGCAATTTCTCCACCCATAGAATTAAATCTTCTTTATACCAATTCAACCAACTATTTAGACCAACTCAACATGCAATCCATAATTCAACATATATACATATCAAACAACCGCTTAGGTCAGATTTGTTTTCTGCCACTCTTCACTTTCCTTCTTCGGTTTCAGTTTCATCAGAAGTAACACACCAACACCAAAATTTCTTGCTTTTTTACTTTGATATATTTAGTTTTATGTTTATTTACTTTCTTTCAATTTTGTGCTATGCTTTTAGCTATGATTATTCAGGATATGGAGCATCTACAGGTAAGATATGTAACTTGCCTGATTCGTAAGTTTGTAAGTTTATTTCGCGCAGAGGAGTTTGATTTTGCATCTGGTATGGTCTGTTTTGCAAGGAGAACGACCTGTTCTACATGCAGAATGACTTGTGCTGCAACTAGAACAGACCGTTCTGCTTGCACTGGTTATGTTTTTTTTTTGTTTACAACTTTTTTATGTCGGATCTTGGCAATGTCCGACGTAAATTTACGTCGAATTTTACAACCAACGTAAATTTACGTCTCCCATTTTAACGTCGAACTTTTTTCTGACGTAAAAAACTTAAAATAACCGACGTAAATTATCTCTTTTATACTAGTGGATCATCAATTTTCCTTTCTTCGCCAAGGAAAAACCCAAAAGCAAGGAACACCAAGTTCAATCCTTCAAATTCAACTTCAAATTATACAAATCACAATCATCACAACATAATCAATGTATACAACATAGAGTGTTGAACTACAAGCTTTCCTTACCTCAAATCTCTAAGTAAAAAGGAAGAAGAAGGATGAATGGCAAAAAATGTAACTCTTGAGTTCTCGTCGCATGACAACCCTAATTTTTGATTAACTCAAATTAAGCACTCCGAGGAAGGATCATAACTCTCATGTGAAGTCAGAAAGAAGAAGAATCTCCTTTGACTCTACAACTTATCTTCCTAAAACCTTCCCTATAGAATTCTTAAGAAATGAACTTATAAAATTCAAGTCTTAAAAAATCTTCATATACCTTCTCATAAACTTGGTCAACTTGACCTTAATATAAAACAACTCTCAAATAATTAAACTCATAAGAACTTTTTAATCTTTAAAATTTTAAAGCATTAAAGTAACACGTCATCAAATATTTAATTAATTAATAACATTAAATCAATAATCATCATGACATAATGTTATAGGTTAAATGTTTATTATATATTTCTAAAATTTAAAATTTTATCGTTAAACAAAATTTCTAAATGAAAGAAGAAATTTGTGTTTAATATATTATAAGTTGATATTAAAGATATATTTTTTTTCATTTTTTTAGATTTATTATCTTTTAACCGCTATTAATCAGTTCTCAATCTCAACGGTTATTAACAAAAAAGATATTCATATTTCTTAATTTTTTATATTCTAAAAATAAAAAATACTGAAGAAAAAACAGGCACACTACAAAAAAAAAAAAAAATTATCAGCTGCTATTTTAAAATCTATTTCAACCAGTTTCTGATATACGTAGACTTGATAGTTATTTTAACTGGCAGGAAAATTATTTGTGATTTCTAGCTGTATGAAAGATCACAAATTGCAGCTTTTTTCCTTTTTTAATTGGCATGATTAGGGGTGGGCAAAAAAAACTAAACTAAGCTGAACTGAACTGAACTGGTGGTGAACTGTACTATAAAAACTGAACTGTTTGTAAAAAAAACTGAACTGAACTGTTTAAAAAAAACTGAACTGAACTGAACTGTTGTAAAGTTGAACTGTACTGAACTATAAAAACTGAACTGAATTATAAAAATTGGACTATTTTTATAAAAGAATAAAAATTAAATATGTTTAACATGTTATGTCTTAACAGATTAGCTCGATAGTCTAATAACCAAAATTTTAGAAAAAAAAGTGATTTGAAAAAAAATTATATCAATTTTGTTGAACTTAACGGATCAATTGAGCTATGTTGAACTACTTATTTTTAGGCTTAAAATTCACTGAGTTTGTTTGACTTAATTTTATATTTTTTTCCTTTGAAAAATTTAAATAAAATAGAAAATAAAGTAAAGTTGACAAATGTGTCCTATTTTGATAGATCAATGAGTCAAAATTGTTCAATTCAAAATATCATAACAGTTTAGTGCAGTTTAAATTGCAGTTCAGTTCAAGTTTTTATAGTATAGTTCAGTTCAGTTCAATGACACAAAAGAATAGTTCAGTTCAGTTCGTCTGAACTAATATTTAGTTTAGTTCAGTTCATATGAACTACTTTTAAGTTCAGTATAGTTTTTATAAGTTCAGTTCAGTTCAGTTCGTTTTGCCCACCCCTAGGCATGATAGTGCCAATCAATTTTCTTATTTTACCCATGTAGTGCATAATAGAATTGTCAGTAATAATAAGTGGTGAAGGAAAGATATTTTGTGATTGCACACTAGCTAGTGTTGCAGTGATAATTAATTGATTGAAGAAATACTAGATAGTGTTGGCTTTAGCGTCATTAGCAGCGTCACACTGCCTAACTGCCATTTCACGTCACTTTTATTAATTTATTTATTAAAGATATTTCCAATAATAGAGAATAATAAAATATTTATTAAAATATAGAGATCATTAGAGTCAACTTTTGTCTCTTTTAATAAAATATTTTTTTACACATCTAATCAAGAATCTAACTTTGATAATATATTTTTATTAAATAACATAATTATGCTAGACTATTTTGCTATTATCATTATATTTTTGTAAGAATAATTTTATCATACTTTATCCATTAAAATTAAATTTGATATCCGAAATTTTACTTTAATATTTAACTAATTATATTACCGTCTTTGATAATAATTTTATCATATACACTATCTATATTACTATTTATTATTTTTAAATTAATTATAATATTAATATTAATGTGAAACATTCACATGTTTTTATTATTTATTATTACTACTATTATTATTATTATTAAGTTAATTATGTGGTGGACATAAAACATGAGATAAAGTAAAACTATATTAATTACTTGTACCATTTATTAACTTTATTGTATTATTTTATCTCTTATACATTGTTGTCTTATCTTCACTGCCAAACAACCCAACAGGGATATTCATTTTGTCTTTTTCTAAAACGGAAATACTGTAATATTTTTGTGACAATTACATTCTTGGTAACAAAACTGAAATGCTGTATGCTCTACAATTAAGTCGGCTAAAATAAAATACTGAATTACAAGGAGAAATTATTGGGTTCTCCTGACTCAACGATAAGAACATAAATATGTCAAGATAATTAATATCAACTACTTACCAACTCACTTAAACAATGGCTGTGTAATAACCTGATATACATTTAATTTGTTCATCTAAGAATGTTAAATTATTGAGACAGACAGACAGATGCTTCTTAATTTAGACGAATAGGAATATATAATAGCTAAATATAAATCCATTCGTGCGTTTTTCCTAATTAATTAATAATCCAGTTTAAGTTTTGAAATAATTAGTTTATGAAATACTATCATAATTATGACCAACCGGGAGTTGGGTCTAGCAGAAGAGTAACCTCATACGATGAACCAATACTGTTTGAATTTTTATAATTAAAATATAATCTCTATGATTAAATGTTTTTTTAGAATTATTATTTAGTCATTAATTCTCACTCTGAGGTTTTAAAAAAGTTAAAATTAATTAAGAGAAAAATAGATATGCATTGTGATATTAATATACTTCCTTTTAAATTTCTTGGATGCTAGCTGCGACTCTCAAATCAAGGTGATTATATTATGTGATTGGTATTATCTAGTCTTTTTTTTTTTTACTATTTTTCATTTTTAATTTAAATATTAAATAAGGTCTTGAATATTTTGAATGGGTTTAAAAGAAGTTTTATGTGATGTAGTGGTCAATGATGACTCTCCTAAAATAGGGTGGATAATTAGCTTAGACAAAATGAATTTATCAACCAAAATCTTGTGATAATCTAGAGATAAAAAGATCTAGAACTTTTTAACTTTAGTGTATTAATGGAGGTGTGGAAATTTCTTGTAGACTTATATTGTTTGTTTCCACTCTTCTCTTGGAGTGTTATAAGTATGGTAATATATATAGGTGTTGGCTATGGATGTACAAAAAAGTTTTTTTGTGTATTGGAGGAATGGTTTACTAATAGATTTGGTAAATGTCTTGAGTTCTTTCTTATTTTATTTTTGTGTGTCTATAGGTTTATTTTGTCAGATCAATGAGAGTGGAAGAAGAATTCTTCTCGGATGTTGTAGCGAGGTTGCACTTTTTTCATTTCATTGTTTTTTTCTTCTTTTTTTTTTTTTTCCTTGTGTCGTTATGATTTCTCAATAAGTAATGCTGCACTGAAGATGTTAGGTGATTACACACTAAGTAAAATAAGTATTAGACAATAATGATAGTGATGAAGGGAAGATGTGTGAATGATCTACACATGCACTAACTAGTGCTAGCCAGCTTTACTTCGTGGATTACTACAATAATGTATTATTGAATATTGAATATTCTTAATCAAAATTTTAATTAAGATTCATTTAATGATCAAGATAAGAAATATAATATATAACAAGTTATATTCTATTTTAATTTATTGTTTGATAGCTAGTACATACACAATAAACTTATCCAACTTTTTTTATAAATTAAAAATAACTTCAAGAGAGAAGTTAGGTTAGTTACAATCAATAAAAAAAATTTGTCTCATAATAATATATACTCTATAATAACATAATATTTATTACTAAAAACTTCTTTTACATATAATATGGATATAATATATATTGATATATTGTTAAAAAATGTAAATATAAGTTACAATAATATATTAAATTTTATTTAAAACTAATATTAAAATTATTTGTAAATATACGTTAAATAGATTTATATTTATATATATTATATATATAGTAACATTTTTCGTATGTTACTATATGTAATATTTCTTGTAATGAATTATTCTTATCATGATAACATAATGCTTAGTCAATTCTTATAAACATAAATTAATCATTGATTATATATCAACTTTATAATATTCATGTTCATATAAAAATAATAATAATAAGATAAGATAAAAAAAAAAATTCCACTTTTCCCCTCACTTTAGTACTCTTTTCTCTCACAGCCACAACACATCTCAACAAACAAAAGATAACATTGGAAATTATAATTTCAGTTCAATGTCTTGAACGAAAATATAATAGGAACTAGAAGTTATACTATAATTACTCCTAGAATCTACCATTAAAAAATTATGAGAAAGTTATTAAGAAGATGAAGACAACATTCATATTTTTCATTGGTACTCTTGACCAGAGAATATACACTACAAGAAATGTTACATATACTGACATGTAAAAAGTGTTACTATAGGTACAATGTATATAGGTATATGTCTATTTGACATATAGTTACACATAATTTTAGTGTTGATTTTGAATGAAATTTAACAACATATTTTGTGTGTTACTATAATCTATACTCACACTTTTTAATAATATACCAACATATATTATAGTTATTGTGTAGGTAAAAATAATTTTTAGTGACATGTATAGTATTACTATAGGGTGTGTGTCACTATATGACAATTTTGTTATAATGATACTATATTTATATGAGAAATACTTAAAAGATATTCTTAATCATACTAATATAATAATGAGCCTAATAGAACATGATACTATATTTATATGAGAAATACTTAAAAGATATTCTTAATCATACTAATATAATAATGAGCCTAATAGAACCAAAGAACTAAGGATGAGAAAAAAATTCTAACAAAATATGAATTCTCAATTTTGACATAGTGATATTGCTTAAGTGGTTAACTGCCTAGTTAAAATGGTTAAAAGATCTAAAATGCGAATTTCTTAAATGAAACAAAGGATTTTCTCTATAAATAGATTCACTCCTCAATTCTATTGTCAAAACAATCAAACAAAGAATATCCTTGATCACTCGATACACGTTGGGCAAATACAATGTCTTCCTCGAAACTCTTAACCGCATTTCTCTTCATCTCATTTACCCTAGCCCTCCTCCAAACATCTTTTGGAGACTCAATTTTTCATTTCTGTTTAGGGTCTGAGAACTACACAGCTAACAGTACCTACGATGTATATATGAAAACGCTCATCATCAAGCTCAAGTATAAGGCGTATTCGACAGGTTTTGGGGCAAGCACGATGGGCCATGACCAAAACCTAAAACTATATGGGCTTGTCCTTTGTCGTGGCGATGTGTCAGCCTCAGAATGCAAAACTTGTGTCTCTGATGCAACTAAGGAAATCCTTAACCTCTGCCCATACAACAAAGGTGCCATCATATGGTACGACTATTGCATGTTCAAGTACTTGGGCACTGATTTCTTTGGCAACATCGACACCACAAACAAGTTCTATTTGTGGAACCGGAACCGCAAAAATGATACAGCACCGTTTAACTTAAAGACTAGAGAGTTATTGAGCCAACTTGCTCTGACAGCTTATGCGAACCCTAAACTATATGCTGCTGGAAAGCTAAAGCTTGAGAGTTCAGACACACTTTATGGGTTGATTCAGTGCACGAGAGACCTCTCTAGCACTGATTGCAAGAAGTGTCTTGATGACTCAATTAACGAGCTTCCACGATGTTGTGATGGGCAAATAGGAGGTAGGGTTGTGGGTGGAAGCTGTAACTTCCGATATGAGACATACCCTTTTGTCAAAGAGTAAATGCTAAAATCTTATGGTTACGGCCTCATCCTTTCTTGTAAAGACCTTCTTATGTTTTTACATTAACACATGAATAAATGAGTAATACTATTCTTAGGATGTCTTTTATAAAGAGAGAGAGAGGATGAGAAAGAGAAATATTAGATAAGAATGATTATGTAATAGAAAAATAAAATCGTATTAGATATTTTGAAGGAAAATTTATTCTCTATTTTATTTGTTTCTAGCGAAATGGATCCAATAAAATATATGTGCGGTTTCATACGTTTGACAACTTATATTATGTTGCTTGGGTTGCATATTAATATTTTGGGTCCCTTCTATATGTAATTTATATATAATTTGTAAGTTGTTTGTTTTTCATAAAAGGATAGTACTGTAGTAGTCCATCCCAGGTATTCCTCTTTGCTGGCTTTTTGCCCAGTATTTCGCCTTTGATTCCTGTTCCGGCCACGGGACGAACTAGGGTTTTCTCTAGG